GGAGGGAGGGGGAGAGTTCGCGCCTACCGTAGGTGGTGCGGCTACCGTGCGAGGATGCGCAACGAACGAACGAGAGGATGCTCGGTTCCTCCGGCATGGCACAGCCCCGCTGCAGATCGTGGTACATACAGACGGCCCGTGTCGTCGGGAGTGTCGCGGCCGATAATTAAACAACGACCAGACGGCCCATTAGCCCATTATCATATTCATGAACACGGAAAGTGCATCCGATTCGATGCACCCCGCCCGATCGTTCGCCCCTCTCGCGCCGCGTCGCGCCGCGCAGCTTATGCGGACTGTGTGTTTGCGAATGCCTGCGGCGTACATCGGCGCGCTTCGAATATCTTATGATACTCGCCACGCGACTATCCCGGTGGTCATCCCACCCCCGCCGCACCCCTCTCGCGCCGCGGAGATGTTGTTGCCGAAAAATCCCTCGCTGCGGATCGCTGCAGTATAGGATAGTGGGATAATGCACTTCCGCGCGCGCATCACCGAAGAAATATATAGCTTTATTCACCTTGAGCTTATCGAAAGAGAGGCGCGTGTGCCCTCCATCGCGATGTCCTCGAAATATCCTGTATACGATTCTTTGAATGTAGATATAGAGAACAAAGGGAAGAAACGCGATGTAGATTCTATCGCGCGACGTCTGGCGAGATTAAACATTTCCGATCTGCCGATACGCGCGCCTTAATCCCATTGTCCTTTAAGAGAGGCAGCTAATTCCTTGTCCTGGCGCTAAAGGTTGATCTCCCCCCCTCCCGTCACGCCCACGGTAGCTAGGGTAGGATTTGAATTTCGAGCGACTCTCGTCCGCGATTACGACACGCCGGCTCTCTCAAGAGAGCTACAAAGGGAGCTACAGTGTCGATGTGAGACGAGAGAGAGAGAGAGAGAGGGAGAGACAGCTAGACGTGGAGGCGAAGTGAAATGGTGAAATATTACGCCCGATACTTTACTCTGTAGATCCCGCTCGCTTGTATTTTTCTTTCTTTTTTTTTTTTTATCGTTTCGTCCATTATCGCGCGAGAGGAGACGGGACGGTTCCGGTTCTCTCTCGGAGGCGGTTGTGTCGGCGGCGGTTGTCGACGGGTCTACGGGATCCACGGGTCGCACCGGGATCCTGCCGACGATCGGGTCATCGAATGGCAGCGTTACCAGGCAGAAAGCACGAATCAAAAAAATTACGCGGCAGATTCCTTCGGACCTCCCGCATACTGTCGGATCCGAGGCTCTCGCCCGAGTTAGCCCGGCGCGTTGAAAACTCGAAACCCGCTCTCTCGTCGCGGGTTGAGAAAAGAAAATTAATTTATTTCGACGAGCGATTTGTTCATCCCGTTCGCAACACGCGGAGGGGCGGGGGAGGGATATCCCCTCGTCGCGCGATAACGCGTGTATATATACGAATTTAATATGAAATCAAACGTCAGACGAAGCGTTCGCCCATCGCCAGATGCGGCGCGCAGCCAGCGATCGGATATCACGACGTCTCATGTCGGGGCCCGGGTTGGTGCAAGAGACCCAGGTGACTGAAGTAACTGATTGACAGTTGGATAAACACATTGGGCAGGCTGCGCCCGAAGCCTTCCGTACAATCGACGAGTCACCGCGGGTTCCGTCGACTTTGATCTCCACGACCGTACGTCTTACATCGCTATCGATGCGCATCGCGCAGCAACAAAAATATTCCACTTATTCATTCAGCGACGCGAACAAAAAGAAGCGGCTATTTTCTCCCTCTCTCTCTCTCTCTCTCCCTCTCCTTCTCTCTAGCTCTCACCAACCGCCCCGTTCTCTTTCTGTTGACACGTACAACTCCGTGGAACCGATTTAATTGTCCAATCAAAAAAATAGCGCGACCAAAAAAGTAGCGCGAGTATTATTTCAGGTGAAAGTGCCAATCGATGGTCGACTTACCGATCGTAGTCGTGCCTGCAGTAAACCCGCATGCCTCTCTGGAAGCACGAGTGCTGATCGTGCAACGGTCTGGCACAGGCGCTACACCTCAGGCACCTAGAGTGCCACGTACGCCCGCCTACGCAGAGGATGGTCCGCTCGCGTACCCGCTCGCCACATCCACCGCACTCCATTACGTTCGGCGACGTTTCCGGGCCGACGACCAGCCCGCTGGTACCCTCGGGACAGGCGAGGCTAGGACCGCCGACACCGCTGTCACACGCACCGTCGCCGCTCGTGTCCTCGACTTCTGTCTGCGTACACGACAAAACAGCAAAATCCAAATTTAGTCCGTAAACACGATCCGATAGGATACACAAACATTCCGCAAAGAACGCCAAAAACACATTAATTCTATTTATTCTCTATGTTATTCGCGTGGGGTTTTGATATGTAATTATATTCAGTAGCCAAAAATACTCACGGGATGCATTTTACATGCATTATATCTTAATTTAAAATTTATACGATTTCATCTATCTTCGCTGTTCTGAGTCATTTACTTTAAAGTTATTAGAATTTTTAAATTATGATTAAAGTGCTCTGATTTTATGTAAATTATCTTCCAATTTTTATAACAATACATTTCCAAGATTTTTTTTTCGTTCTAAGAACTCTGGATATTTGTAATTTATAGTCTAAAAAGTCAGTTAGATTATCCCAAGATTTTTATCTCATTATAGTTATAAGTTTATTATATTAAATTATGTATTTTCATCTTCGTTTTTATTTAAGATTTATAATTCTAGTTCTGATAGAATGAAATTTTCTCTTCATTTGAAGACTCGAATAATTCCGCATGATAGACCCTGTAAAGCGCCATGTTGGTTTCTATATTTTATATTGTTATCTATACTCTCTTGTACCCTTGTGCTTCAGTATACTAAAATCGCCAATATTAGCGCAGCTACAGAGAATAAACCAATTGATAACGTATTCTTTTTTTTTCAAGAATGTCAAACAGACGCAAGACCCCAAGTCCTGATTTACGAGGACACGCCCCCCTCGTTCGAGAGTCATTTCGCCGATGACACCGAGGGGGCTGCGTGTAGCCGATGACGTTAACACCCCGGGTTTACCGTAACAAGACCGGTAACATAATGACCGAGAGAGATTCGGAGGCGACTGGCTACCCGAACGGCCATTATGCGCGTCCCATCGGCATTACCGCAGCCTCCCCGAAACCCTTATTTGGGGGAATGCGTCGTGGCCGTCGTGGGGCGTTGCGGGCGCGCGCAGGGCGCGGGGAGAGTATACTGCGTGCGTGCAGCGTGCGTTACCACGCAGGGCGTGAGAGGTGCCGAGGCGAGAACACGCATTTACACGCGGTGCCGCGTACCAGCACAGCGCTCGAGTTGACACCGACACGCGTGTCACCATTATTGAAAAGGAACGAGCGCCGTTTCGTGTCGTCTACCACTGGGGGGTGACGAGCACGAATCGAGTGCCGTTGGCTGCCGCCGATCGCTGCCGGTTACGTTATGGCTCACGGTGGGGTGCCCTTTTTGCGCTTGACCAGCTGCCACGGCGGATCGTTTACCGGGTTTGCGACTCGTAAACTGGATATAAGTATAAGTATAATACGCGCGCGATCCGCAAGCCGATTTCGCGCGCGGAAGCGAAGCAAGTTTCGCGCGGGACGGGTGAGAGATATCGGTATATATAAGACACGAGCGATAAATAACCGGTCGGTTAAAATAAATGTAGGAATCGTTATCTCCCGACGCGCGCGATCCGCGCGCGACGCGACCGCGTCGCGGTTCATATAAATTCAATTCTTGAGGCGCAGCACGGTTGAACTAATTTGTTTTAACAACATCGCAAATCCGATTAGCGCGCCTTCCGTCCGCCGGAGATTCGAGGAGATAATTGAAAGCGCGAGGAGATACGATATCTCCCGATGTTGTTCCGCGTGTTCGAGCGTTTTACGCTTTAGGAGAGTTCTGTGACGTGTGTAATTTATATCAGTACATTCAAACGTATACAGTATGTACGACGGTGTGTTTTCTCGCCGTGTATACGTGTATCCGGATGAGAGAACGCTATCCGCGTTCACGTTCTACGGGATATCAGCGCTTAATCCGCGCTTATATGCGGTATATACGCACGTGCACACGTTGCGGCGCGGGCCCCGGGAGTCATAGGTGACAATAATAACTTCGAGTTACACGCGAAGCGGCGTCGTAAAGCGCGGGATTAGACCTCTTCCGTCTAATGTATGTGCCTGCCGAGAGAGCCCGCGTATAGAAAGACCCTGCAGCGAGACAACGAAAGTGAACCGGCGCTCGAAACGTGGCCGGAGAGTTCAGTTAGATTTGCATAATTAAAGGCGTCCAGTTTTGGATAGACTCGAGAGGCGCGCTGCTTCTCTTTTTATATTTCGCAGATGATCTCTGTAGATTTATCGCTACGTAAACTGAAGGCATAATAGGAAGGACTTTTGAGGACTTATTAAACTGTGGTTTAATATCTATTGTTATCAGTGTAATACTGAAAGAGAAAAATGGTTGCAATTATCATAAATTACTATAATAATTTTCAGTGCCAACTATATATCTGTTTGATAGAACTGTAAATATAATTATTATTATTAACATTGTAGTATTGATAACTATAAAAATGAAGTTTCTAACCATAATTATTTTATCATTTTTAGTGTACATAGACTCGATACGTCTTGCAATTAATCTGTTTTTAATTATTCCAGCTGTACAAATGTATTATCTTTTCGAAGTATAATAGAGATGTAATTTCCGTATTAGCGCGCATTGGCGACCCTTCAATCCCACATAATCGGATCTAAAGATTTACCTATTCTGGTAATCCCGCTTTTACGATGTTATTGATTCTCGCTGGAAGAAAGCTCTCTCGAGTGGTGCCATCGCGAAGACGGGAGGGAATCCTACGGTGAACTTGTATATTTCGTACCGGTATTGAGTTCTCGTGCACGCCTCTGTTTAGAATACCGTGAGGTCCTATTCTTGTGGGACTCGAGTGGTTTCGGTTTCGGTTTAGGTCCCTTTTCCCGAACTATAGACACTACCATTGGGTATGACTTTCAAAGCTGAAAGCCTGTCGACGGGGGGGCCCGTAGGGGTCCCACTACAAGCTTCCCGCCTTCATCGGCCCTTGCGGCTCCGTGACAGTCTGGGACACGGTCTGTGTCCATTGAAATCGATACTTCTTTCCCTGGCGAAACCATTCCCGCAGTAGGTATGCGCATTCGTCCATATAATAATCATAATGCGATCTAGCACCGTAAAACCGGAGTTAACCGACGCGCGACGATCGATGCCTCCTTTTTTTCCCTTCCATCTTTTTTACAATCACTATATAGATTTTAACTTCAGTCAACTCGTAACGTAAAAATAACGGTAGATTAAGTTACTTTGAAATTTGCAAATAATAATCAACGACAAAAGAGTCGCGCATTGCTTCGGCACGGGCGAATAGATATTTGGGAAATGCAGAAAGGTATAACGATGGAGCGTTTGCAATCTTTGAACCGATTGTCGCGCGCGCGTATTGGATGTAACCGGAATTACGTGGCCCCGGAGTTTCCTATCTTGTCACACACACACACACACACGGAACGCAAATTCGTTTTCAGTCGCTAATGAACACGACCGTTAATTAGAAACGAACACTTTGTAGTAGACTGCCTGGATGCGCGAGCTGCGTTACTATCTAACAGAATTTGCCGGCACACACGGACTCTCGTTAGAGGAATTTATTAGGGAGAGAGAGAGAGAGAGAGAGAGAGAGAGAGAGAGAGAGAGAGAGAAAGATAGATACACAACGTGTGCGCGCGCGACGGCGCGAGAATTATGGACGACCGAATATTCGACGACCGTATCTCTGAACGTACCGATCGTTACCGGGGTGACGGGGTGAGGTTTTCCCTCTCCGTCGTCGAACGCTCGGCTCGTCAGCTCTTTCTCCCTTTCTCGCTTAAAACCGAACTTGATCTATTTATCTGCCATCGATTAGAGAGCCGAGCCGATGTTAAACGCGCGCGCTCCGGGAGAACGGAATGTTGCGCGACGTCGAGAGACTCCGGGGCTTCCCGGGGTGAGAAAGACTCGGAACGCTAGATCCCGATCTAGCTGTCTTGAGTGGAGCGCCCCTGCATGCACGCTCGTTCTTTTCGCGTCTACACGGAGCCCAGGTGACAAGTTGACAAAGTGGCCGACTATACACAGGGCCGAACTGTCCTCCCGTCTCTCGAGACGAGAGCGATCGGAAATAAATGCTCCGCGGCGGGGTTTTGTGTATCTCGAGTGCGGGCCTCTCTTGGAAAACGGCCGCGGCCGGCGCGGCGTCGGAAGGGCGGTGGCGAGGGAAGAGGGCACGAGCCTCTTTCACGCCTTCGTAAAAGAGGAGCGCTCCTCGCGTGGAAACGCGCGCGCGCAGGCATGCTGCAGGTACAATAGACCTAGGGCATCCCGTGATCCGTCCGGGAGCGCGGGAGGGACGTGGGGTCTCTCCCCGACCGGCCACTCGAGATCCATTTAAATTGCCATCCGATTTCTGGTTTCGCACGCCACATTGTCGCCGTCGCCGCCGTCTATCTTGGGGCCCGGCGACCGGCATTGTGGCCGCGGGACGCGGCCAGGGAAAGAAGAGATTCGTTTCACGATTAGTTCGAACCCGCTTATTGCCCGCGCGCCGCAGCACCCCCCGAAGCCGAATCGTCGACGGAGTAGCCGCAGAAAGACGCATCGAAAGAGAGCCGTGACAATGGCGTTCTCGCTCGTTTGCGCGCGTGCGTGCGTGCGTGCGTGCACTCATCGATGCCACTCGGTCGGTCTTCACGCTGCCCACGCGCGCGCGAGTGCCTTTACGTGACATTGTTGTTCACGCCCGTGCCGTGCATCCCCCACGGACGCCACACGGAATAATGGAAGCCCGGCGCTCCAATTGTATTCTGCGAAAGCGCGCAGAAGCCGAGAGTCATCGAGAGAGTCTCTTTACGCCGGGCTATTAGCGGCGACCATAAAGCGGGCGGGCGAAATAGAAAATTTAAGACACATAAAATTTCCGAACGCGCGGCACGTTCGCGGCACGCGATCGAGAGGCACCCGCTGCGTATTTTTTTTTTCCCCGAGCAGCGCTGCGGATTATCACGTTATCGCGTTGTCCGCGGAGTCGCTGTGCCAGAAGCGCATACAGAGACGTCGGTAATTTATTGCCACCCGACCGCGCGGAGTCGCGTGTCGCGCGATAATTTATACAAAGCAAACGTTATTCGACTGCCAAATTTTGGAATTTATGTATTGTTAAACTAAACCAAGATTATATGCGCTATTGACGAAAAGAATGTGCACGTAAAATATTAATTATTCTGAATTATATGCGCGCGCGCGTGTGTGTGACTTTGGCTGAACGATAAATTCGCTCTAGAGCGAGGCGTGCCTTGCGACTCGCGCCGTC